GCCTGAAATTGATCTTCCAGCCATTTTTTATTTCCTCCCATGAGGAGAGTTTTATGAGACTGAGTTGATCAATTAGCTTTTGCCGTTCAAGCTTATCTTGTGCTGACCAAGAGTCACAGTCAAGGTTGCTTAAGTTTACAAGGATTTCAAGTAACTCAGGCTTGAGTTTATTAATTTGCAGTTGGCTGTACTCATCATCAGCTATTTTAATGACTCTGTCAATCTTGATTATGAGATTGCAAAGCTTCATGAACTCAATTGTAGGATCGACTTTCTCCTGACCAATAATGGTGGAGTCATTGGAATTTGTATCTTCCTCGGAAAGAGGAGTAGGAGGTCTTCTAGGTGTACCTGGGGGTCTCCCAGGCTTTCTTTTAGTTTTAGCAGGCATAATTGCTGGGGGTGACCCAGCAGTTAATCTTAATTCCTGCGTTTCAGGATTTCCAGTTGGCTCTGAAGAAGCCACACTTGGATTAGTTTCAGGATTTTGCCCCCCAGTATTTTGGGCAGTGGGCTGCCTGGTCACAGGCTTTTCAGTTCTCATTTCAAAAGTAAAACTTTTGAAAGTGTTTTAAGATTCTTTGAATATTCTCACAACTTTCCAACGATTATTTTCAGAAACACTTTTCACACAGGGTTCTTTCAAAGATTTTTATATTTTTATTCACAAATATTTATGAAGAAGTTTTTCTTAGTATAAAAGATTACTAGCTTTTTCGGCAGTGGAAGACTTTCAAGAAATGAGAGTTTTTAGTAAGGGAAACTCAATCAATCAAAGGTTTTTAACACTTGAAAAGATTTTTTAACAGACAAGGCTTTTTGAAAATCAAGATTCAGCAAATTCTTAGTGAAAAGATATTTCCGTAGATTTCCTAACCACGCTCTGCTACCACTTTTTGTAAGGTTTTATTTTGTGTGGTTGGAATTTTACAAGCCTTACACCTGTAAAGAATTTGTGGAGTTTGCTGAAATAAACCTTTGTCATACACTTTCAAGTTTTGCAGAATTTAGAATTTTAACAATACCCAGGACTGGGCTCAGGAAAACTTTGGCATACACAAAATACACACACACACACTATAAACAGTTTCCGAAAATATTGACAGAGTTCGAATTAGTAAATTAATCCGCGTAGGTTTTCTTTGGTACACAATTGACAAGACTAAAGCAAAAAAGAGTTCCAGCAGTTGGAAAAAATAATATCTACACCAGGTCTTCTCAAATATTATATAAAGAATAAAGGAAGGCAGATAAGCCTCTTTTTTAGCGCTTCAGGTACAGAATAAGTTTTGAAATTAAAGTTGGTAATATAACAAACACTTCAGTAGAGTTTTACAAAAATGTTTCACAAGTCCCGAGTTTTTTGAAAGGTTTCACACAATTCCCGAAATTTTAGACAAGTCCGCGATTTTCGAATTTTTATTTGTACGAAAATTATCCGCAGCTTCTTCAAAGTTCGACTGGTGCTTTGCGCAAAATTCGGGGGGTTTTTATGCAACTTTGCCCCCGTTTTGGCGCGCACTTTTTTGTACAAAAACACCCAGGTGCTGGGATTTCCGAAGTCAACGAACCTGCCAGATGTTGGCAGCTGTCAACGACTTTTGGTGCTGTTTTCTAAATTTCTCGAACATGTTTTTTCCCGGTGCCGGGTGTGGTGTTTTTATTAGTTTGACAAGGGGAGTTTTAGTGCTGTTTTGTAAATTTTGTACATGGGTTTTCTCCCGGCAACCGGGTGTTTCAGTTTTATTATGTCGTAGCAATTTTGACAGAAAAATACTGTTCCCAGGAGTGGGTTTTTCCGAGGGAGTCGAAGCGATTTTCGGACAGTTTGTAGTTTAGAGATAAATTGCTTTTTTGGAAAGAAGATCTGTTTCTGCTTGTTCTCGCCAGCAGCTGGCAATAATTTTCGTTTGTCCCTGAGTTTCGGATTTTTGCTGAGGGAGATGTCTCCCTTATTTTACGAGTGCGCAGATTTTACAAGCAGCTCGAATTGCCCCGGTTCCGGGGATTATTTTTTAGTTCTATTCTGTTCCTTTTCAGGATTTTTTGGTTTTCGGTTGCCCCGATTTTTTGGGGC